AGGAATAGGATTAGGAATCCTATTTTATTTATGGATTCCAACCTAATCCATAAAAAATTTATAGATAAATTTTAGTTTTATGGAATCCTATTTTTTTTGCATTCTATGTTTGTTTCACCCAAAGAAAAAAAGAATCTCACTTTTATAGAAACCATCCAATTCCTAATACCATGTTTGGTTCAGAATGAAATTTTTTTAGGGATCAACACTGTAGCAACAGCTAGCTCACTGATCATTACAAAATCACCGTAGCAACGGCTAGTTCCACCAACTTCAGAATTCAAAGAAAAAACATTATAGCAATGACTATTTCCACTATCTTCAAAATTCAAAGACATAACACTGTAGCAACGGCTAGTTCAGGGTCATAGTGGTTATAAATTCAACTTGAGGCCTCAAATTAATCCATGCATTCTCATTTCTCAGCAATTTATAAATTCCCATTGTCTGCAAATTGGATCCCAGACATCAATATGATATCAGAAGAGTGCTATCAAAATTATGAAGTTTATTGCGACTGCAATCTCAGAACACCGATGAAAGTGTGCAAGAATGATAAAAATAAGGGAAGGTGTTATTAGGGGTGTGCAAAATTCTCAAATAAAGAATGCAATTTTTTCGAACGGGCTGATGAAAGAGGAGACCCAAGCAACCAAGGAAGCCAATATGTCAAAGAAAATAGGTACGAAGATAAATATATTTTGTAATCAAAGACGCTGAAGAAAGAATTGAGACTTGTCGGAAATCAACTAGTAGCTTGGAAAATTTTAGCAATTTTATTAGTAATTTTTTATATTATTTTAATTATTACAAACTGCATGTCATGTACTTGTACTTGCAAAAACTATTTAGGTTGTAATGAAAACTATTTTTGGAATTGGGTATAAATTGTAATTGATATTGTATGGCTCGGTAATAGATCAACTTGTCATAATTGATTGCCCCACCTATAACTTACATGTTTATTACAGATTACATTATAAGGATGAATTGCCTCACCTAGACATTGTCAATTTAATGTAGGCTACAATCTCATCCCCTTTTTGTCACATCTGAATATAATAAACAATGTAAGTTAGATTGCATTCTCAGTAAATGCTAATCATCATCATTGCCAAATATCAACTGTTAGGAGCTACACAAGGTCAAAACAAAATAGCAAGTAACCCACATGCAAGAAAAAACAAAACAGCTCCCACATAGCAGCCTACAGAGCTACACAAGCTCAAAAACAAAACAACAACAAACCCAAAGGCAACAAAGCAACTCAAGCTCCAGCGAAAACAGCAACAAACCCAAAGGCAATGAGCTACACAAGCTCCAAACAAAACAACAGCAAAGCCAATTCACAGGAGCTACACAAGCTCAGAACAAAAAAGCAACAAACCCAGCAGCAAGGAGCTACACAAGCTCCAAACAAAACAACAGCAAACCCAGTAGCAAGGAGGTACACAAGCTCCAAACAAAACAGTAGCAAACCCAATTCACAAGAGCTACACAAGCTCAGAACAAAATAGCAACAAACCCAACAGCAAGGAGCTACACAAGCTCCAAACAAAACAGCAGTAAACCCAGCAGCAATGAGGTACACAAGCTCCAAACAAAACAGCAACAAACCCAAATTCACAGGAGCTACACAAGCTCATAACAAAACAGCCACAAACCCAAGCAATTGGAGCTACACAAGCTCCAAATAACAGCCACAAACCCAAGAGCAAGGAGCTACACAAGCTCCAAATAACAGTCACAAACCCAAGAGCAAAGAGCTACACAAGCTCAAAACAAAACCTCATATAACCCAATGGCAATGAGCTCAAAAGCTCAAAACAAAACAGCAACAAACTCAAAGAGATTGAGGAGCTACACAAGCTTCAAATAACAGCCACAAACCCAAAGGCAAGGAGCTACACAAGCTCCACGAACCCAAAGGCAAGGAGCTACACAAGCTCCATGAACCTAAAGGCAAGGACTGCAATAACAAAAATTCCAGAGAACCAAAAATCAATAATCAATTATATACCAAAACCCTTGTTTCTTGAGAGATTAGACATGTAGATGCCAAGCAATTGTGAATGAAACCCCACGGACAAATAATTCTACTAAAATCAATAATCAACTATATACCAAATGAAACCCCACCGAACAATACCCTTGTTTCAATAATTAAACATATACCAAAATCAATAATTTCACTACCAATGTTAATTTCCTCAGAGCAAGCACAATGAAACGATCACATTAAAAGGGATAAATTGATTTATACCTGCAGATGCTAAGTAGTTACGAAGGGAATAATTTAGAAATTGATGTCGTTGCCAACAAACCCCACCGGACGGAACAACCAACAAACCCCACCGACAAATAAGCATTGTGCCTCGTCTTCGAAAAAGAAATCGAAGAGATGAGGTGGGATAAAGGGTTGTGGGAGAAGTCGAAGCCAAAATCTAGGGCAAATCCACCAACCGAACCTAACAACAATATCGAAGAACAGCGGGAGAGGAGGTGCGCAGAAGCTTGGGGAGAGGCGAGAGAAGAAATGGGGAGTTGCGATTCCAGATCTAGGGTTCGAAGTCGAGAGGATTAGGAATCAGAAAACGCCAGATCTAGGGTTCGAAGTCGAGAGGATTAGGAATCAGAAAACGAAGATGAAGAACGATGTCAGAATTTTCGCCCAAACCCTCTCAAAAAACTCCGATTTGGGTTTCTATAAAAAAACCCTTACTGTTGCACCTTTATGGGCCCAAACCCTCTCAAAAAACTCCGATTTGGGTTTCTATAAAAAAACCCTTACTGTTGCACCTTTATGGATTATGTAATCCATAAATTTTTTTCCAGCCAAACTCTAGAATAGGATTGATAAAGAATCCAAATATTATACTTTTGCCACTGTCAGATCCAAATACCAATTTTTTTCTATAAATTGGGTGAAATAAACCACCCCCTATACTTTTGCCACTGTCAGATCCAAATACCAATTTTTTTCTATAAATTGGGTGAAATAAACCACCCCCTTAATGGATGAACTAATTTCAAAGTAAACTATGAAAACTGGGGGCCTTGTAGAAGTTTCAATGATGAGAGGGGCAAATCTCAAACTATACTAGATTTAGGGGACAAATATCTCTAACAAGACCCAATAAGCTAAAGAACCGGATTCCCTTGTGTGGGCATTAAGGGGCTGTTTGGTTGTATGTTTTTACCATGTAAAAGAATGGAAAGTGTAAAAAAGTGGGTCCCAATGTCAGCTTTCATCACTTTCAATTGTTTGTTTGTAGTTGTGAAAATAGTATAAAGTGATTTCATATGCTGATGTGGCTTTTTTAATGGATTTTTTAAAAAAAAAGACATGATTTTAGGAGAAAGCTGACATTGAAGTCAGGAAAAAATAATAAAAAATAATTCCAACCAATATGATCATTTGAGTAGGGACCACTTTTTACACTTTCCAAACAAACAATTAAAGTTACATTTACAAACCAAACAAGCAATTTATGATTCCAATGGAATCAAAAACAAACAAAGAAAGATATAAAAGTAAAATTGATGAGGTGGACAACAACTTTCCAAGTTGTGTCATAATACACAACTTTACCAACAACAACCAAACAGCCCCTAAACATTGACATCACATCACACGGGGCGTTAAACGAGGCACAATAATGCTACTCTCTCACGTGCAATTTTTTATTTTTATTTTTTATTTTAATTTATTTATTTGGTTATAAAGAGGGCCTTTCACAGTCTAAATTTATAAGCTCCCCACTATCCAAAAATCATCCTCTCTTCTCCTTCATCCAGATTAATCATCAGATTGGAGGAAAAAAGAACCCAACCCTGACCCTTGACGAGCTCACTGGTGATAATATGGACGACGACGATGAAGAGGACGGAGGCAGTAGCAACAGATGCTTACGCTGGGTTGGGAGGTATTGGAAATTATCAGGTGAGAGGTTTTAACTGAGAAATTATTGTTGATTGAAGAAACCCTTAATTATTAGGTTAATTTAGGTATTTTTCCTTTTAGAAATTAGTTTTATTGTTTCATTTCTAACTCTCTAATTCTCGCTCTATAATTTTAAGTTCTTCCCGTTGCTGAGAATATGAGTCCGGTATTTAAAATCCTCTATCATTTCTAACTCTTTTATAAATTCTTATTTAATTTGAATTTTAGAATAGTGCATTAGATTGCCAATTTTGGAACTCATCTATGTTAGGATTAGTCCACGTGATTATTCTTTGGAATTTTCAATGGTACATTTTTACCGCAGCTAGTTCATATGTTTATACTATGTAGTTTCCTGATGTTTCTCATGTGAATTTATGTGTCTGGGTTCTCATTCGCAACGCTTTAGGTTGATTTACTTGTTGAGATATAATAATTTTAGGGGAAAATTGCATTGGGGAGCCAAATTAAGTTGGGTCATTCATCCCCACCCCAAGCCCAAAAAGCATATCCAAAAAACCCTTAATACAGCAAAAGAAATGCAACAAGCTCCCAATATAAGTACAGATACAATACCCCAAAAACTATCCCCAAATTACCCTTCCCAATTCACTATACCATCCTTTCTGAGCGTTGTTATCGAAACCACCTGTTTCAAATTTCGAGACCATCTTCCCTTTCGTTCGAAACCCTCTTCCTCCCAAAACCGCCGCCGACAGAACAACGGCTTGGAAGCCGTCTTCGTGCCTCTTCGTCTCTCACTCATCGAAGAACGCCGACCCTCATTGTATTCTTTGAAACCATGCCTCTGAAAACCCCGCCGCGACGTCGTCGTCGTCGTTTTCATCTTCGGCGACCCACATTAGAACGCTTCGTCGACTTCGTCTTCGTCATCGTTGTCGAAGACGCCTGCCGCTCATTATATCTTCGAACTCCCTCTTCCTCCAAGACGCCGACGCCCCTCGTCGTCGCTTTCTTCTCTTGGCGCTCAGCTGTGAACCGTCTTCGTCGACGCTCGCCGCTGACAAGATCCTTAAGCCCCCCCCCCCCCCCCGACCGCAAGCGAGTCGCTGGAGTACCTCTGCCAAACCGAACAGTGACGCTCGCTGGGATGTCGACATCATCATCTCACTCATCTAAATCAACGAGGAGCAAGCCTGGGATGTAAGTATTAACCCAATCATTCATATTTTTCGATTTTAATGTGTTTGGCATTGTGATTTTTTTAGCCGCATTAGAACCCTAATTTGATGCAGTATCTGTTGTGTTATGTTTTACAGTAAGCATGATATCAGAATTTCTTGTAATATACATGGATATTGTACATTCATGGATGAAATCGCTCCACGGATGAGGGCTGAACATTGGAGGGCTTATGGATCCTCCAATTTCAAAAATTATGTTAGTTTTGGTGCAATTCCAGCAGACAAGGCTACGATCATGTTGCTTCTAGATCATCTGGATTTAGCCACGGGGAAGTTTTTTTTCAAGGATAGCCAAACTGGGACTCCACAGGCGTATACTTTTGATGTAAATTGGGTGCTTAAACATACCCGGTTTAATGATGAAGGGGAGAAACCCGAAGGCAACCGAGATACGGAGAATAGGATATGGAACACATACTTCTCCAACAAACAACAATTACAATACAAGAGTGGCCGAGACTACCTTGAGGCCCTATTGAAAAGATTGGTTCGGTCAAGAAAGAGGACGGATGTTTTTGATTTTGTTATGCTTCAAATCCTCTATCAACTCACAATGATATGGACTCTGACCGCGAGAATGAATGCACCCCGGCATATGTTTAAATATATAGATCGGTTAGATATGGTTGATAATTTGTCATGGGCGACAATCATCTACAAGGAATTGTGGGATTCTTTCAAGGCTGCGAAGATAGCGAAGAAGGGGCAGACATATCTCATCGGTTGCGCTCCCTTGCTATCGGTGAGTTATATGTGTTTTTTGTAAGTAATATGTTGCATTTGCACCTTATCTGTGATCATTACCTTTTACATGTGATATATGACACTTATATGACATTTGTATCTAATTTGTATTGTTTAAGTTTCCAATTTATTTGTAGTTTGTATGTGATATTATCTTGTTATATGAGATTATTTCCAATTAAATGTGATATTATCTTGTTATATGTGATAAGTGTATTCTACATGTGATATATTCTAATCATATGTGACGTTTGTAACCAATATGTGACATTTGTCCCTGATTTGTGACAGTTGTAGTTAATGTGAGTTTATCTTCTTGTAAGTGATTATTGCCATTTATCTATGATATTTGTATCTAATATGTTATACTTCATTGATTGAATGTGGCCTTTTTTTGAAGCTATGGTATTATGAGATTTCGTATCTAATATGTTATACTTCATTGATTGAATGTGGCCTTTTTTTGAAGCTATGGTATTATGAGATTTCAAACATCAAAGAGCCGGTAAGGGTTGATGAATCCAAGCCACCAATGATAAATTGGACATTGGAGGGTAAGAAGGTGGGTTCGGTGCGGACTACAACGATTTTGAAGAAATCGGAAGCCGCAATCCACATCTTACCGGAGCAAGATGTGGCGAGGTATGTTCATGAGGAAATAAAGCAAAAGCTTACAATGGTGAAGGCTAAAGTTGAGGAGGAAGTTACGGGTGAAAAATCATTAGGGAAGAAAAGAGTCCAAAAAGAGGTAATGTTGATGATTTGGATGTGTCATCTTTTTATTTGTGACTTTTGCTCACTATCAGTTTATTGTTAATGTAGAATGAAGCTTATGAAAAGTTGGTGATGTTGAATGAAGCTTATGAGCAAGTACTTGTTACTCACGGCGTTGATATTTTGGCTATTATAGTCGAAACTGAGAAAACATTTGCTGAGGAGAAACATATCAGGCAAAACAAAGGAGAGGTAACAACTTATGTCTTGTGTCACATGAGGGAAAAAAATTGAGAAAATATTTGCTGAATTGAAATTGGTTATTGTTTTTACATCTATGCAGCCACAAATAGAGAAAGAATGGGAGGCTGAGAAGGAAGAAGGGAAGGAAGATGAGACATTGATTGAAGGTGATCAAACCCAAGACATGGACATTAAACTGGAGGAGATAACTTTCCTTTGTGATATTTGCTTATTGCATGTGACATTTACAGCTTATTTGTGATAGTTTCCTTTGGTATGTGACAAATGTCTACCTATTGTGACATTCGTCTACCTATTGTGACATTCATGTCTCTTGTGACATTTTGTCTAATAATTTGACGTAAACAGTTTAGTGTGATGTTTGGTTATTATTTATGATAAATAAATATTTATTGTGATATATATTCATGTCTTATTTTTGTGATATGTATTCATTAACTGTGAGTGGTATACACACTACAACAGAAAAGCTAATCCGCGAGGAACAAGTTTGTCGTTGAAAGTCGAGATTTCCTCGTCGTAGTGTGTTGGCGAGGAAAAAACTTTGGTCACCATTTCCTCGTGGTAGGGTGGTCAAGAAAAGTTTCTACGAGGAATATTATAATTTCTCGCGAAATCCTTTTTGCGATGAATATATTCTTTTCTCGTTGTTACTCTTTAGCCTCGATATTTTTGCTCACCTAATCTCATACATTTTTCATCACTAAACTACAGTTTCCTCGCCAATGATACGTGAATAATATTTAATTTATATATAATGAAAGTTATAAAAAACTATTTTCGTCGTTGTAAGTATCTTTCAGCGAGTAAACTGTTCCTCACCAAAGATAAATTTTTAACTAGGAAATTGATTTTTTTCATTATATGTATCTTTTTTTCGTGGAAACAGTTCCTCAGTAAAGGGACTCAAAGAAAAGGAAATTTAAATTTGTTGTTGTAGGTTGTACCCCATATTCTTCGCCAAAGAAATTCAATTACGAGGAAATTTACATTTATCGATATAGGTTATATGGTCTATAACGAGGAAAATTACTTTTACCGTTATAGGTTGTATCATTATAGCGAGGAAATATGTTTTTGTCGACGTAAGCAATATACTCTATAACGAGGAAATATTATTTTGACGACGTAAACAGTATACTTATAATGAGGAAATTTTATTTCATCAATAATAATGCTATTACGAGAAAAACGCTCAAAATATAAATAATTATCATCAATTGTCACCAAGGTACATCAAAAAAATTAAAATAAATAAAGCAAACAAGTTTTTACCATAAGTAACAATGGTAGTCTAAAGCAATAAAAAATGCAACACGACCAAAGAAATATTTTGGGTTGCTGATGGATGTTGCCTAGAAAAATTAGCCATAAACTTCTCAAACTTTTTGGCTTGCTCCAATCTTTCGATTACCTCATTTTGCGCATCGATCTTTTGTTGTTTGAGTTCCTACAAGTTGTTGGGTCTCTTGAAACTGTTCTTGCAACTCTTTATTCTTTTCAGACATTTCACTCATCGAAGAACGGGAGAACCTTAATGATGGTGGTCTAGGGCCAAAACCACAGCTCTTAATGTAGCTTGATTTGACTTTGAGAACTTTTGCACAAATTCCTCATCTGTCATTGTTCGAGTTCCATCAGGTTGAGTGATATCTGCTCGCATCTTTATCATTTGATCCTATAAGTAAAAAAGTATATTCAGTTCAATCATATGCAACTTCTCAATTACAACCTAATCAATATAATCTTCTTTAGAACAGTAATATCAATTTAACCTATATTCTTAAAATATTATAAAAGCATGCATCATTAACATGTTACTTACCCAATTTTCCTTTGCTCCCAAGTCCCATCCTTTTTTTGTGCTTCTATACTCTGTTTCAAAATGATCAATTGCACATTGCATCTCTTCAGTCTGTGCTTCCTATTGCATTCAAACATTTTTTTTTGGTCAATGAAGAATTATATTCATTTACCAAATGGAAAGTATTTGTACATCAGATATTCAGTATATGAACTGAAAAATCAATTAAGAAAACAACTAAAAAGAATAAAAACTAAGATCAGCGAAGAATTTACAGTTGATTATAGTGATATAAGCCATTCTTTTTCCCCGCTGGATATGAACCATTAAGTATGATGGTCATGATATCAATCTTGATCTCCTTGATGAGCTGTTCTATACTCCTGGATTTCGTTTCAAATAGTCTGCTGTTTCGTTCCCCCCATATCTTGTAGACAGTAGAAGATAATGACATTCTTTTCACCTTTTGCTTAAAACCCCTTCCTCTCAGCCTGCAATTAAACCAATCCAGCAAGCGATTCCATTCACAAGTCTTCCAATCGAATTGAAGCCAATTCATAATCTCATTCCAGACTGCACCAGTGAAGCTGCATTCAAAAAAGAGGTGATTTCGGGATTCAACAACATTTTCATTGCATAAACAACAGATGCCAGTTGTGATGATTCCTCTTTTGAGCAATCGATCTCTTGTAAGTAGCCTGTTCTGCACTGCAAGCCACATAATGAAACAGTGCTTTGGGTAGCTCATATTTTCCCACACTGTTGTGAACCATGGGACCTTTGTAGCTGCTGGGGAAATTTTTGAATAAAGCTCAGATAGACACACTTTTGAGTTCCTATGACAGGAACTGATAATTTGCTTCAAAGCATCTACACATATTTTCTTTTTCAACATATATATATGTACACAATTAAGTTACAAATTTATAAGCAAAACTAAAAAGTGTCTCACAATTTGCTCTTGGTGTGACAAATGATTTTGACCTAGCTTTGTGATGATATGTCAACTTTGACCTATTAAGAATATTCTTCTCTGAGCAAATCTAAAATTATTAAGACATACAGTTAGAAAGAAGTAAATGAAAAAAGAAAAAATGTAATACGTGGAGGAAAATAAAAAAAAGATATTGTACCTTAAACTTTTCACTAGAAAAATGAGTGCAAAGAAACTCCCATTCTTTCTTGAGCCAACAAAACAATACAAGGTATTATACTTATGTGATAGGTGTCAAGCACACATAAATCTAGACAAAATATGCAAGTACTATGCTTATGTATTCGTATTTTAATTATATGCTGACGTGTGTGAATTTTCTTTCTTATCATTTGCACCAATCCTGTTTCATCCTTCCAATGACTCAGGTGATTGTTTAGTTTCAGGTTGAGCTGTCTATGTATGTATTATAATAGAAACATATTTTGCGTTCAAAACTCATACAAGCATTTGAACTAGTAAAGCTACTGATACATGTAACTCTTGATCATCTCAATACTTCTTATTAGATATTGATAAGCATGGGTTAAGAATACAAAGCCTCAATATGTCGAAAGGTAAGAAGTGTTTACCTCTTGATTGAGCTTTCTCCAATGCCTTGCCATATCTACCACAGACTTGGAGCACATTGGACATGTGTATGAGTGTATCTACTGCAAAAGAAAGAAAAACAAAAAAACATTAATAACATATACAATTTCCCTTCTTAAACACCAAAATCAAATTGGATTGGGGGTCAAATTAGTAGGTACTACAGTTTAGTGGGGGGATGCGGCTTACTGATGATGATTCAACATTCACGCCAGACATTCAGAGTGCATTGTGTGCCCACATTTCAAAACACTTGTCACTTTTAACGAGTCAAAAAGATACTGCAACATAGAATCTAACATTATGATGTTTCAAATTTCAAATGTAGAATGCGAAAGAATATCAGGAAAATGTACCTCAACACATATGGGGCAATTCTGTTTCATTGAGTTCTCCACACATGTATGCTTACCGCGTAGAGAATTTGAGTAGCAGGAACCTATAGATAATTTCGAATGGACAAAGATATGTAGATTAACAGAAAATTACAACTAAAGAAGATGTATCCATAAAATGTAGATAACAAAGTGCCATGAATTTCATCTATTCCATCCCACATGCTTGAGTACAATCAGATAGAACAATGAGCTCAACAAAAAGACAAAAAAGCATGTATATACAACGTCAACAAAAAGAAAAACAAGATGTCAGCACTAAATGTAGATAACTGTTGATTATTCTAAATAGAAGTCTGGTTCGTCATTAATAGAAAACAATTATCAAGAAAAGCAAACAAATCCAAATATTTATCAAGAGAGAGGCACATACCACACGTTTCGTAATGGAAGAAATTATCCTGCCCTCCAACTCGACAAATACCGCAATCATCATAGTGAAACTGCCCTTTCTTAGTGTAGTCGTAAATTTGCAGATTTCACAGAAATACTCCCTCATGTTTACACCACACTTTGTACAAACTTTGGTAACCTAAAATCACCCCAACTCTTGCAATAATTCCCAGAAGGAAAAAGAATTTCAAATAAACAAAGATAATTCAGAAATTTTACCTGCTGCTCAGTATCGCACACCAAACAAATCGCCTAAAAAATCACAAAAAATAAAAAACTTGAGAACAAATAATAACACATCAAACCCAAATTTAAAAGAAAAAGATACATTCCTGGAATCATTGTATATTAGGAGTAAGACTCCTATCAACTTAAGTGGATAGTGAATAGTGTGTCCACCAAACTTTATATCCACTCATTTAACATATAAAAAGTCACTTCATATCATGCAAGGATCCCTAGGAAACATCCAAGGGTTAAAAAGTTTGGTGGATGTCCACTTAAGTGGACACAAGTTCTCCTCCATATATACCTTCCAACTCAATTATATTTGAAATCTTACCGCCGGCGGTTGAAGATTGTAGCACGTTTGGTTTAATCTATCTTCCAAATCAATTATATTTGAGAATCAATTATATTTAAAATCTTTACGCTGGCGGTTGAAATCTTGCCTCAGATCGTGCCGCTGACGGTTGAAGACGTAGCCGTAGACGAAGGAGGAGCTCGCCGGGAACCTGAAGGTGAAGATGGAGTCGAGGATCAAGGATCGGTGGCGGGCCTGGTGCATTGAATCGGGGAACGAGGAGAAGGCGATGAGGACCTGCTGGTCGGCAGTGAAGGAGTTCGGCGGGAAGAAGACCTCGACGGTCTGGCCTTGCTCGAGATCAAAGCGGATGATGCAAAACCCTAGGACCTAACGGCGGAACCCAACGAGATCGAAGCGGATGAAGACGACATGGAGGCGGCGGCGGGAGCGGAGGAGGAGGAAGAAGATGGTCGAGGGATTTGAGGGGATGGGAATAAGGGGCGTGGGGGATTTTAGATTTTGGGGGAAATTTTGGGGTGAAGCGGAAGAGCACAGAAGAAGAGAAATGTTTTATTTAAAAAAGAAAAATAATTAAACACCTAAACGAGTTAAACCATTTGGGCTAAACATCCCAAACGGTTAAACCTCTTTGGAGGTTATATTTGGGATCTCCTAACAACCCAAACTGTTTCAACCGTTTGGGTTTTGTTATCCCAAACGGGTTTAACCGTTTGGGCTGTTTTTACTTGTCCAAACGGTTCTAATAACTGTTTGGACTGTCCTATTTTGTATTAGTGCTATGCCAAATAGAATAAGAGATTTCATTGCACGTTTGGTTTTAGTGCTATGCCAAATAGAATAAGAGATTTCATTGCACGTTTGGTTTAATCTATTTTCAGAAGTCAATATTATATATTAACATAATCTAATTTCAGAAGTAATCTATTTTCAGAAGTCAATATTATATATTAACATAATCTAATTTCAGAAGTCTGAAATAAATGTATATTCAAAACTCACAAATTGTTTAAATCTTATTAGATTTGTGAGCAATCCTATATCATTGGGATCCCTTTGAACCTGAATAAATATTAATTGGTTGTTAATCTTCATGTGAATTGTGCAAAAAACTACAAAAAGGAATCATCAACCAGACAAACCAAATCCTTATTTCTATCCATACTGGAGCTTTACCTCGTGCTGGACATTTATTAATTCTTTTAACGAGGAAAGGGTTCCATGTAAAACAAAAAAAATTAGTGAGGAAACCTTCAATTTGTCGTCAATGAATTTCGCGGGTGTTGCATATTTTTTGCCAAATTAATATTGAGGGAACTATAATTTTCTTGCTAATGGGTTCTTTTTAACGACAAAACGGTTTCTCGTAAAACAAAAACTTTTAGCGAGGAAGCCTTAAATTTGTTGCTATTGAAATTGACGGGTTTTGCACATTTTTCTGCCAAACTAATAATAAGTAAACTATTATTTCCTCGCTAATTGATTCTTTTGACGAGGAAATGGTTCCTTGTAGATTATAGATCTTCAGTGAGGAAATCATACTTTTATCGCTATTACATTTGGCGGGTTTTCCTCTATTTTTCACCAAAAGAACAGCGATGAAATGATTATTTCCTTGTTAAATGTGCATTTCACGATGAAAAAGTTCACCAAAATCTCATATTTCCTCGCCAATAAAATAACTAGTTAGGAGACCAAATCATGATCATGTTTAGTGAGGAACTAAAATTTTCATTGTAGAAGGTGGTCTACTGTGAGGAAAATATATTTCTTGTTGAAGACCTACTGATATTTACCGAGGAAATAATTTTTTCCTTGTCGAAAGTGATATTTGTTGAGGAAAATAATTTTCTCGTAAAAAAGTTGGTCGCTAAAAGACCTGTCTGTTATAGTGACAGGCTAAAGTTGAGGCAGAGAAAGAAGAAGGGAAAGAAGAGGAGGGAGGCAAAGAAGGTGATCAAACCCAGGCCATGGGCAGTGAACTGGAGGAGGTAACTCTTCTTTGTGATATTTGCTTATTGCATGTGACATTTACTGCTTATTTGTGATAGTTCCCTTTGGTTTGTGACAATTGTCTACCTTTTGTGGCATTCATATGTCTCTTGTGACATTTTATCTAATAATGTGACGTAAACAGTTTACATGTGATGTTTGGTTATTATTTGTGATATGAATATTTCATGTGATATATATTCATTAACTGTGATCTTTATACAGCTTTAAGAGGTAAAAGTTGCTGAGAATGTTCCCAAAAAGAAGAAGGGAAGGAAGAGGAGGGAGGAAACCGATGATACTTTAAAAGCATTTGTCAGTGGGCTACGGACAAAGAGCCAAAGGAAAACAAAGAAGCCCAAGTTCTTAGAATCTCTCTTCCAAACTGAATTGCCTAAGAAGGGAAGGAAAGGGAAGAAAGGTGTCGTTCTGGTGGAAGATGACGACGACAAGGGGGAGAAGGATGTGGAGAAGCCACTTGCAATTTCACACATCGGTAGGAGAACATCTGTTGCAGAGCTATGGAAAAGGGAAAAAAGTGAAGAGGAAAAAAATTTATTGGAGATGTTGAATATGAGCATTCCTTCTTCACAAGACTTTGATGTTAGGCTATCGGGAACAATCGACGAAGGCTTTTACCATAATTTCACCGTTGAGGACATTCCCGATGCATCGGATGATGAAAACAAGTGGCTTTAACATTTTCTTACATTAAAAGTTGACAAGTAAGTATTAAGTGTTATTCTGTGATATTTATATTAGGCCTGTGATATTAAGTGTTATTCGTGTGACATATAGTGTTTTCCTGTGACATATAGTGTTTGCATGTGATATTTAGTGTTTGTTTGTGACATTTAGTGTTTTCCTGTGACATCTAGTGTTTTCCTGTAACATCTAGTATTTTCCTGTAACATCTAGTATTTTCCTGTGACATTTAATGTTTGTATGTGACATTTAGTGTGTTCCTGTGACATTCAGTGTTTGTATGTGACATTTAGTGTTTGTTTGTGATATTTAGTATTTTCCTGTGACATTTAGTGTTTGTTTGTGACATGACATATAGTGTGTTCCTGTGACATTTAGTGTTTGTTTGTGACATTTAGTGTTTCCTGTGACATATAGTGTTTTCATGTGATATTTAGTGTTTTCCTGTGATATTTAGTGTTTGTATGTGACGTTCAGCACATGTATGTGACATTTAGTGTTTTCCTGTGACATTTAGTGTTTGTTTGTGACATTTAGTGTTTTCCTGTGACATTTAGTGTTTTCCTGTGATATTAAGTGTTTGTTTGTGACATTTAGTGTTTTCATGTGACATTTAGTGTTTGTTTGTGACATTTAGTGTTTGTTTGTGGCTTTTAGCGCTTGTTTGGATTGAGGGTAATGGGGTGGAGGGGAAGGGAGGGTAACTTTTAACCTTGTTTGGGAAGTAAATATAGCAAGTTAATAGGGGTGAGGGGAGGTGAAAGGAGGTGAAAAAATAACATGATTTATGATTTCTTCCCCCCCCCAATTTGGGGGGTAATGGGGGTGAAGGTAAAGAGGGGGAATACAACAAATGTAGAGAGACATATTTACCCCTAGTTAAGATCAAAATCCAACGGCTAAAATTTCTAACAACAATATAACTTAATAATATATGAGAGTATTTATGTCAATTTATATACATTCCCTTCCCTTCCCTTAACTTAACTTCCCCTAGGTTCCCCTAACTTCCCTTCAACCCCTCCAAATCCAAACAAGACCTTAGTGCTTTCCTGTGACATATAGTGTTTTCATGTGATATTTAGTGTTTGTTTGGGATCTTTAGTGTTTTCCTGTGATATTTAGTGTTTGTATGTGACGTTCAGTATATGTATGTGACATTTAGTGTTTTCCTGTGACACATAGTATTTTCATGTGACATTTATTGTTTGTATGTGACATTTAGTGTTTTCCTGTGACATAATGTTTGTTTGTGACATTTAGTGTTTGTTTGTGACATATAGTGTTTTCCTGTGACAGTCGGTGTTTGTATGCGACATTTAGTGTTTGTATGTGACATTTAGTGTTTTCATGTGATATTTAGTGTTTGTTTGGGACCGTTAGTGTTTTCCTGTGACATTTAGTGTTTGTTTGTGACATTTAGTGTTTGTTTGTGACATATAGTGTTTTCCTGTGACAGTCAGTGTTTGTTTATGACATTTAGTGTTTGTATGTGACATTTAGTGTTTTCATGTGATATTTAGTGTTTGTTTGGGACCCTTAGTGTTTTCATATGATATTTAGTGTTTGTTTGGGACCCTTAGTGTTTTCCTGTGGCATATAGTGTTTTCCTGCATTTAGTGTTTTCATGTGATATTTAGTGTTTGTTTGGGACCCTTAGTGTTTTCCTGTGACATTTAGTGTTTGTATGTGACGTACAGTACATGTATGTGACATTTAGTGTTTTCCTGTGACATTTAGTGTTTGTATATGACATTTAGTGTTTGTATGTGACATTTAGCGTTTTCCTGTGACATAGTGTTTTCATATGACATTTAGTGTTTGTTTGGGACATTTAGTGTTTTCTTGTGACATTTATTGTTTTCCTGTGACATTTAGTATTTTTCTGTGACACATAGTGTTTTCATGTGACACTTGATTATTTTCCTGTGACGTTTCGTGTTTTCCTGTGACAGTTTGGTGTTGATTAGAATATGTCGCTTATACATTGATTGTCTTCTACATTTTTGTAGTCGGACAATTTTTGAGGTTGAAGATCATACTATATGCAGATATGATATGCTACATCTTTTACGTGGTGGAAGATTAAAGGATGAGGTTAGTTTTTGTTATTGTTGCGGAGTTAAGTTTTGCACAATTACAATAACTTGTTACATTTGCAATCATTAGATTGTTGAAGCTCTGGTCGCAAGACTTCCAACATGGCTCAAGCTGCCAGAAAATGACCATGTCGAAAGAAAATACGCTATTGTCATGTTGTATTTTAGTGTGAGTAATGGCTATCATAATACCTATTATGTGATATTGCATTTATATGACTTTCTTCTGTTTGCTTTATTCTCTGTTTTTGACAGATTTGGTTGCTAACTGCTTCAAATTTGGATGAGCGCAATGTCTATGAAAATTACATAAAGAAGCATATAGATGAAGGGAAGGATGTGTTGATAATTCCAATATGTCACGTTGATCATTGGCATGTCCTTGAGGTCAACTTGGGGCAAAAAAAATGCAGACATTACAGCTCCGCTGACGTTGATCATTGGCATGTCCTTGAGGTCAACTTGGGGCAAAAAAAATGCAGACATTACAGCTCCGCTGACTACGAGGCATGGGCTAGAGACGTGTTGACCATCCAACTTTTTTTAGATAGGATGGTGAGTGGTTACGATCATGCGTCGACATTCAGAGCATTCGAATATGAAGCAGTCCCTTGTCGAACGCAAAAAGGCTCGTAAGTTTCTTATACTTAAACATGAGATTGTTACATGGCTTGTTGTATGGCTTAGTGACATTGTCGGTGGTAAGTTTCTTATACTTAAACATGAGATTGTTACATGGCTTGTTGTATGGCTTAGTGACATTGTCGGTGCTATATTCACATCAATATGTGATATTTGCGGACTCTCTGTGACTTTTGGGGATGTTATGTGACAGTTTAGTATGTAGTGTGACTTATGCTGCATTTATGTGACATTTTGATATTGCATGTGACATATTAGGTAACTGTGTATTATTCTCGTTACCCGTTACATATCCTGCTATTAAGTGTTATGTTATATTTTTACAGATATGATTGTGGCATACATGCGTATTTTTTATTAAGGAGATCCTCGAGGGCACGGAGATAATGAACATTGAAGCCTTGTACAGGGAGTCGCATATGCTACGGGCTGGACTTGCTGCTCAAATCATATGTGAACAGTGACGATCCAGAATATCTATTGTACTTCGGGGGTAGTGATGTACCTATGATTGAGTGGAAGTATTAGACTCTAGATGTAATTGTTTCATTTGTTGGATGTCCTATGATGGATGTTGGTTGTTTAACTGCTGTTTGTAAATGATAACTAGTTTACTAACATAGATGGTATTTCCTGGTGATCTTTTCTTTACCATATTAAAGATGAACAAGTGATCTTGGTAATCTGTGTGACTTTTGGGGCTGATTTGTGACATTTTAGAATGCAATGTGACTCTTGATATTCTGTGTGAGATTTTGGTGGTGTTATGTGATATTCGAACATTCTCTGTGTTTTATTCTCGTTCCCTGTTAGATATCCTGCTATTAAGTGTTATGTTGCTCAGTTATAGAGATTTTTCTCTCTTCTACATGCCTATTTTTCCATCAGGGGGATCCTTGAGGGACGGGATGTTATGTCACACAGAATATCATAAAGGCAAAATTAGTAAATGTCGCAACAAAATAGCGCAATTATCTATATGTCTAAACAGGTAATACGTCACACGAACAGGTGATATGTCACATATAAGTAGTTAATGTTGCCCAAAATGTAATAAATTTCATTTACATGTAATACGTCACATATAAGTACAAAATGTCACAACAAAACGGCAAAAGTAACATGTAACAGAAAATAATCACAAAAGAGTCCGCAATCTGCCAGGAAACGTTAATCTTGGATAGGTTCAGTGCATGTGGCTCGGTTATGTCCTTCAGCGTGACATCTTGAGCATCTAATTGCACGTCTATTCTCAGATCTGTTGTTGATACGTCTATTCTTGTTCCTTCCACGTCTCTTTGTCGTCTTTGGGGGAAGAATGCTAACTGTTTCATCCGTCCCTGGGTGATGCGCCCTCGAGATTATCGCCAAGGAAAGAGCCGGCTCCACTTCAGAATCTAAATTGGTGCGCAGTAGCTCCCTGAAAGCTGCTAATTCTGTCATCAAAATAGTGATTCCACCCTGGCAGTGATCAGTCCAGGATGCATCCCTTTTGGCCCTGATGTCATCCAAACATTGGTTCAAGATGGACTCGCAGTCTTCAAGCGAAGCTCCTTCAACATCTTGTACTGATTTTTGTGATGATACCTCAAAGATTTTAGCTGTAGAATGCGATACTTCAAGAGTGCTTCCCTTGGTAACATTTTCTTGGAGGATTTTTTCCGCTTCTGGACATAGATAGCTATTCCATTTTGTTGCCATCTCGCAGCGAGTATTCATTCTTTCCATAATTTGTACACGAATGTGATCCATCATATCAAAAATGGGAAGTGTTCTCGCCACACGAATCCAACTGTTGAAAGATTCAACAACATTGGAAGTGATATGATCATATCTGTGCATCAAACAAAAATTTTAAAAATTATAAATTACAGCGTATCTGTCACATATAAATACCATATGTCACACACAATTGCTAGTGATCACAGTGCAGGGCTAAGTGTCACATTTAATGGCGTATTGCCACACGAGACATGTAAAGGTCACAAATGACTTTTAAAAGCTCAAATTCATATAAAATCATAATGTCACAAGTAAAGGCAATGATATTTGACGTACCTTATACCAGGAAATACAGAATTCGCCCAATTACTTGGTCCATAACTTAGAGCTAATTGGGGCATTTCGTCCTCTCCGTCAGTAGAACGCTCAACGAACGCAGACTTCATCGCATCCCCCATTAACTTGGATCTTTTGGAATTCTTGGCCGTAACAGGTAGCCGCTTGTGAATTCTCCTGTCATATTCGCCTTGCTCAGCAGCAGAAAGAGCCTTCTTACCCGATCTTAAAGGACGAGGCGTAGGAACAGGCCTTAGAGCTACTTGGTAAGCTCTTTGATCTGTCATCCTAATCTGATGTAAAACAGCTTTAAATTCTCTTTTTGTGTACTTGTATGCAGCAAACTCCAACAATTTTGAAATACGTTGAGCAGCACTTGAGGCAAAACCCCTCTCTCTAAGCTTCAATTTATAATTCTCAACGAGATGAAGTACACATCTAGAGTGGTACGCATCTGGAAAAAGGACGAGGCGTAGGAACAGGCTCTTTTGCAGGAATCTCCTCAGTTGTCTTTTCTTCAGGAGAATCATTAATTGGCTCTCCCTCTTCAATTCCCGTAGGGACCTCTTCTTCAGAAGGTTCTACTGTGAAAAAGTCCTTAGGAGCTTCAGCGGCTCCGATCGCTTCCTGTTCACAAGATAGGTACTCTTCCATCCCTGGCCATCTGGAAATATATCTTTCAAAGATTGTTTAATTCCTTTGTCGGCATCTGACAAAATCACTAGAGGATGTGGTGGATTGTATGGTTCTGTTCGATTGTACAAAATATACCGCAATCCTTGAATAAACCAACTCTAATTTGCTTCATTTTCTTGGTCACAAACGCAAGATGCGAGTGGAAATATACCTTGATTACCATCATAAGCAGTCGCACCTAATAGGATCCCTTTGTAGCGATCCTTCAGAAAAGTCTCATCTAGAAAGAGCAATGGCCTACATCCCTTGAGAAACCCCTGTATGCATGCACCATACGACACAAATAAACGTTTGAATCTCATGTTTTCTTGTTCAATGGTGAAGACACTTCCTGGGTTTGTTTCCATCACCTTCATTTGGTACCTAAAAATGTTGGTTAAATCACAACTAACTTGTTAAATGATGAACAATATCTAAATATCACATGTAATACTCAAACATCACAAATAAGGTCTAAATATCACATATAAGGTCTAAATGTCACATGTAAGGATTAGTTGTCACATATAACGTTGAAATATCACATTATAAGCGTATCTGTCACATAGCGTTTTGACATGTCACATTTACAGTTAACTATGATAGATATACATTCTAAAGGAGACATCAACAATTCGCTTGGACTAACCAGGATAGTAAATCATATGAATGCCTTGCGCAACCAAATATTTGGTCTTTTGTCGTCTCCTTAGCACGCCAAGCTTTAGAATAATTAACTCTGAATCCATATTGAGAGTGCAATTCCTTTCTAATGTCAATTGGGGTAATATATGGACGCCTCTTCATAATTGATTGTAGCATACTCGCAATCCACCTTCTTGATGCTCTGCAGTGACCAGCTGTGCTGTTATGTTGTCCGCATGTATGTTGAGGAACATGTAACTAGCACGAATACGTTTTGGCTCATTGTTAACATAATTAAAAGCAAACTTCTTAGCTATAGAGTAGTATATAAGAGCCATTCTAACTTCTTTTGCACTTTCAAATTGCTACCCTTTTCCAGTAATTGCCTCGTGCCATCATGTTGGGATCCGTGACGAGTCACTTACTACGTCGTTCATCATCCACACATGCTCTCCTTGATGGTTGTCGTTTGGGATCCTCTCTGATTCCTCGATTGTGATCCTCTCATAAGGTTCCTCGATATGCTCAGATGACTATGAGCTTACATTAGGAACACTACAGGTTGAAAGATAAGGTCACAAATAAGTCACGTGTGATACTTACCAGTAAAGTCACATATAAGACCTAAGTATCACAAATAAAGTCCATATGTCACAAATAAAGTCAATTTGTCACGTTGGATGTCTTCAGGTCACATATATAACGTAATATGTCACGTGTATCTAGAACCTGAAAATATATCTTTGAATACTTACTTAAGCTCTGTTTCTGTCCCTATGGCATGATGGGTCCTTCATCTCTTTTAGTAACAGTCATGGTTACTGTATTTAACCCCATTGAATGATGATAATCTATCATGTTGAGAATATCTTCATCTTTTGAAAACTCAAATGAGACAATGGGAAACTTCTTGATAGAGTAACTTATCAACAAACTTTCGTAGGATTCTCTAAAATTCTCTGCAGCGATCATCTTCAATTCAGCTAAGCTAAACTTGTTGTCGAATTGACTTTAATGAGGGTTGCATTACTGTTAAATGAAATCACACACATTAAGGAATCTTCCATTGTGGTTGTTGAAGAAGTTAAGAGGAAAAAGTTAAGAATATAAATGGTTGTTGAAGGTCTTAGTAGTAGATCTAAAGAGGGAAGAGTATATATTACATTGAAATGAGGCATGAACAATTTTGGAGGGAACTTAGTATCTTTTTCCCTCCATTTTTCCCTTTTCCCTCCATAAAACCTCTCTCTAGCTAGAAACGGAAGTGACTTCAAATCTGACTTCCGATTAATATTGTTGTCGAATTGACTTTAATGAGGGTTG